CCAGGCCCCGTTTCCTGCTGCAGTTCTCTGTTCAAGGCGTTTTCTTATTAATCCTGAATCTGAGGACACTGGACCTGCTGCCAGCCAATCTAGAATTCTAACTTATCGGGATGATAAAATCATTCTTACCCTGTTCCAAGTTATTCCTTTCCTCTTCCCTTAAGACAATAACTAAATTAAAAATACAAACTGCATATCAATAGATCCGTGTCCTCTTCTTTGACGTGTAAATTCACAGTGTCCATGGGTCCTCAGCAGGCTCAGCTGAGGTGCTTTGCTGAAGGCCAGCATCTTACTCGCTCTGCTTCAGTGATGACGCCAGACTTAGAGAAGAGGTTGGGTTGATGAATACATTTGGATTTGGGTTGTATTATGAACAGGGTTTTGTGTCTCTGTCCTTACGACAAACTTGGATGATCTCCAGGTCAAAAAGTCAGTGCTGACTGATGGCGACCACACATTGGTCAAAGAAGAACTCTGTACCACAGTCAATGGGTGAGTTTTAAAATTTTAGATCAACGTCCCCTTTTTTCTGAGGCAGCATTGGAAGGACAAGAACCCCCGAACTTTCTTTTAGTAGCTGTTAATGTCAGAAGCTATCACTACTGGGGAATCCGACAGAGACCTTAGAACTGGAGTCATAAACACGCCTTGTTCAGATCTCAAAAATTACACCAAACCTAACAACAAAAGATGACACATAATTATTTTAAGAACAACTATATCATATCACGTTGCTGTCATATCATTTCTCAAGTGGCATTGTATGTACTCTAGCGGCTACCAGGGTGGATTCTGTGCTGGGGCTGCCTGAGTCAATATCCCATATCCCCCACTTACTAGTTCTATGTCACTGGACAGTCATTAAGCTTCTCTGTTTTGTCAACAGTGAAGTGGAGATACTAATACAACGTACGTCAGTTTTAAGAGGTCTTTTGTTATTTTTAGGTGGCACTGAGTCAAGCACAACTCGTAATGACTCGGTGAACAGCAGATCTGAACCCTGTCTGAGCCTGTGCCATCCGCGTCACCCCTGACACGCTTGAGCCCATTGCTGCAATCACTGCCAATCCGTCTCAGAACTGACTGAATGGCAGAGACTGAGGGGATCATCAAGGCTGTCAAGTGTGGAGTGACGTAAGGATTTGAACTGCTCACATTTTGACTAGCAGATGAGCCTTAACCACTGGGTCACAAGCATGCCAATTGCCAGGCAACTCCTCCGTGCCCTCAGCTCTAGTAAAACCATTTACTCTAACGTTCATGATATCTTAACTTCGGAAGATCAAAGCCTATAGTGGTGGTCTCTCTTTCCTCTGTTGCCTCTTGAAATAGGAAGGTCCACATAAGGAGGCTTGGTGACACAGTAGGTAAAGTGTCGGATTTCTAACTAAAAGTTGGTAGTTCAAATTCAATAATCATTCTCTCCTTAAAGATTTATATTATCTGAATACACTTTGACAGATGCAACTTTATAGTAACTACAGATTTTCCTGCGATCCATAGCATCACAGGCCACTCAACCAATAACGTTCTATGTCAGGTTTAGAAGCAGGAGTGGCATCCACTTCCTAAACAACATGCTTCCCGAAACTCTATGAACTTTGATAAATGTTGATAGTTGTAGAGGGGCTTCAGGCCTTTTGTTCATAGGGTCGCTATGAGTCGTGTTCGACTAGTCAACCTCTCTTCAGAAAAGCCTTTGGCAAGGCACTTATTAATGCCCTAGCTGAGCTCTGGACTTTATTTTATATTCCTCTTCTGTAACATCAGGTCTTGGAGCTAAGCTTTGTCTGCATCTCACCACTTGGCTTCCTCCATCCACCTAGCAACTTCCATTGGGCTTAGTAATGTTTGCAAAAAAAAAAAAGAAAGAAAGAAAGAAAAGTCCACTCTTCTGCTTTTCTGGTGGACCCGGCTCATAGACCCTAGACAAAACTCATGTAAAAATGTCTGAGGATTCTCATGAGGTTCTTTTACAATAAACTCTTTTACAATAGCTCTTTACTCAGCCTTACATAACAAATTTCTTTACACTTCTGTTGAACCTTCCAATTTAGACTCTTTTAGGCTGACAAACTCCCAGAGGCAATAAGAGGTTTGGGGGTTCAGGTCCAGGCAAATCACTGGAGTAAAAAGGCAGTCCACTTGAAAAACAGCTGTCAGTAAAATTAGACTAGAGAAAACTGTCCATTTTGGGGTTTTTTTAATCTTACTCTTTTTTTCTCTGGGGTTTCTCTGTCATTTCTAATACACCCAGGAGAGTCTACCCAAGTTTCTTTGTCTTTTTAGCAGTCCTAGAATTTGCTTACATGGTTCAGTAGTATTTTCTTGAATTTAGGCAAAACCACTAATGTGTTATCTCTTTGAGGCTTCACAATGCCAATGGTTAAGCACTGATTCCCTTTTGCTCCCAATGTTCTCTTTAAAAATTTCAGTCTAGTGAACTAAAAGTTTCTCCATTTTGGCTGAAAAAAAATTTCTCTCCTTAGTTACATTATGTCATTTCTCTAAATATTTAATCAAAATAGGCTGCAATTCTTTGCCATATGCAAAGTCTTTTTTTAAAGTTATTTTTCTGGTAGGCTGTTCCTCATCTTGAACTACAACTTGAAATAGAGAGGGAAGGAAAGAGGAGAAAAAGAAAGGAAGAGATTTGAACATAGCATTGTTTCTTTTATTTTCTGTAGATCACAAACATTAACTAGTGACCCAAAACTCTTTGGAAATAGAAATACTTCCTAAAGTGCTCAACATCAAAATGTGGATTTCTCAAGAACAAACCAGCAGCCACAACCATAATAACTGGTTTTCGGATGTCACTTTTACCAGCTGAATAGGAAAATCATTCTTCTTTGCAAAGTCAGCTATTACTCAGTTCCAACACCACAGAAATACAACGCATAGGTAACATGAAGACACCCCCATATTCAAGACTCAAAATCGCTGCTGGGATGGGTTTGGATACTGACTTTCTTCAAAGGACTTGAGCTAAACATAGTAAAAAAGGACACTTGGAATAACTGCACATTTAAATGGGAAAGAAGATGACACAGACACATTTCTGGACAAATATGAGCAATTTGGTTTAATTCAACATTTTATGATACTAGTTATTGGATGAAGGGATCCAGGGAGGCATGATTGGGAAGGCAGTCCTGGTCTTCAAGTGTGTCAGTTATTTGTTGATAAGAAGACAATTCCCAGGCTACACGCTTACACAAGACTCCTGGGTTCCTTCTTTCTCTTGATGGGAACTTAGGACTCCCATGAACCAGAGGACTAAGGGTTACAGGATCTATGTCATCTTCTGATGGCTGGCGTGGACTTGTCCATCTCAGGAACAGCTTAGTCTGAGGAGGAATTGACTAGCTTTTCGAGTTCTTTGGGATGTTTTGCCAGGACATAGAGGAAGCCACCCATGGCTCCAACAGCTGCCGAGGTGTGATAGACAGAACAGTCATCTGGGGAGAGAGAACGTTCCCCTTTAGTGAGTGCTGGGGGCAGAAACCTTTATGGGCCCTTTCATAGAATACCAGTCCCCTGTAAATGTGTATCTACAATTAATGCAGCCCGCTTTCTAAGCATGTACAGTGTCGTTGGTGGATCTCAAAGCTTCCTTTGGCTGGGTCCTCCAGCTCCCGGGAGTTTGGGCTATGAATGATTTCTTCCTCTGGGGAGTAGTCTGCAACCCACCACGACTTCTTCACTTGCCCCCTCCCCAAATGACTCTCAACAGCCATCTGAGAGTTTGTTGTACTGTGGTGGCATCTATGGTACTAGGATACTGGAAAACTATGACAACAGTCCCACCAGACAGGCCAACCCATCTCCCTCCGATTGCCCCAGCCAGAGGCTGGAAGAATCACTCACAAGGCTTCCCAAAGCTTCCTTCTCTTGGGATCTGCCAGCTGAAAATTTCCTGCAGCCACTGCATTTTGTAGAAGTCGATGTATCCAGCAAATCCACAGTACATGACTGTGAAGACAGGAAGAGCTGCTTCCAATCTACCCCCTAGACTTAAGGTCTTTTCTTCTACCTAGGGCACCAAGGGGTCACCTGCCCCCCCCCATGAGCATCCCAGGGGGCAGCATCCACAACACCAGATGGAAGAAGCAGCCCAGTGTTCTACTTAAAGGAGCAGTGGCTCCTGTGTTTGTACTCTGCCTCACGCATAGGGTCATGAAGTAAAAGAATTTGAGCACTAAATCCAAACATGTGAGCATATCCCAAATTGTTCACGGGACATACTTACACTAGAAATGTATCTCTTGTTTGTCTGAAATGCAAATGGAATTTAGTCTTAAACCCAGGTCCCCTGTTTGGCCACAACCTTAAATCATTCAGAGCTGTCTATCAGTCAGCTCATTGTCAAGTTTGTCCAGTGAGAGCAGCCATCAATTTAATGCCAGTGGAGAAGGCACCCTCCATGTCAGAGCTGCCAGATAAAACACAGATGACTCAGCTGCCCTGTGGTTTCAGATGAACAGCTGAATCACTTCTTACACATTAAAGAAGAAACATGAAAGCCAAAATCCGTGTAAGGAAGAAAACTGTCAGAGGTGGGAAATACACAGAATTTCCACCAAAACAATCAGTAGAAAGTTGAAAGGCCCAGTAAAACAAGGCAGCCTCTCTGAGTGCTGGACCACACCAGTGTCACTATAACTGTATCCCAAGCAGTATCTGAAATAGACATATACAAAAAATCTTGGTGTTCATCAGAAATTCAAATGCACTGGAGACGCTGGTACTTTTACTTGTGTCAAGAAACCCTACTTGTGTCTACGTATATGCACACAGGCAAGAGTGTGCGCATGTACATAGTATGTGTGAGTGTGTTCTGTTCTCTTGCCCATGCTTATGTGAAAGTGTAGGTTTCTGTGTACATGGATACATATGTGTGTTTGTGTGTGTGTGTGTGTGTGTGAGACCTATGCTTGTGCTCTCATAGACATGCTTGCATTTGTATATTTCAATTATCCAAATAAATGTGGGGCTCACTCACTGTTAGTCATGAAGAGGCCGTGGTCAGGGAAGGTATAACCATTGAGCTCAGCATCCTGGTTCATTTTCATCATGTTGGCACAGAAGAGGTCCATGTAGTGCTTGTTTCTTTGGAACAGGTCCCCTGAGCATTCGAGCTGGGAGACACACACACCAGAAGACAAGGAAGTCAGTATTCATGGCCGACACTCTGCAGTGGTTACAGGGAAAGGTTTGGGTTTTAAGGTGGTTTGCTACTTGGCTGCACCGGGGGCAGGCCTTCCTTTACTCAGGGTTTTCCCAGCACCACTTGCAACTTGTTTGAGCTCCATCACTGTAGAAATGCCCTGGGTCAGAGGGAGCTGAGTTCTAATCCTCCCTCTACTACTCACCAGCCTTTGTGGCCTTGACTCGATGAGTTAAGCATTCTGAGCCCTGACGCCTAACACTGAGACACGTTCTGAAAGTATTGTTTGTTTTAGGATCTTCAGATTCAGAGCAGATCCTGGGTAGGGTTGGTCCCAGACCAATGATGCCAGAAGTACAGGAGGTAAAAGTTGATTGCCGTTGAGTCGAGCATGACTCATATGACTCTATGCACTATGTTGCTAGTGACTCTACGAGCAAAAGACCTAACGCCTTTCTCTAACTGTCGTCATTTCTCCAAGTTCATGGAATTTCCAGAGGCATGTGGTTCAGGAAGTGGATGCCCTTCCTGCTTCCAAACCTGTTTTACAACTGGGAGCGCCACCAAATAGTGTCCACATTGGGAGGTAAAAGAAGCCTCTAGAAACTCTTAGAAACAAGTGCCATAAGCCCTGGCGGCTCTATAATGTAAGGGTTTCACTGCTAATTGCAATGTAGGTAGTTTGAACCCACCAGCAACACTAAGGGAAAAAAAAAAAACAAACAGGCAGCCTTGAAAATTCCGTGGGGTCAGATTTACTTTGTTCTCTAACGTGCTTAAGAGTTGGACTTAATCATGGTGGGTTTAAAACCACCTCTATGTACAATTTTCAATCTATTGAATCTATTCACTAACTCAAACACCTTATAATTCCATTTTATTGCATTTAGAGAATAAAGAATACATATCGCCAAAAAATAGACAAACAAAAATTAGAACGTGTTGGCTTTGGTTAATAATTCCTGGACACAGGATAACATATTTTAAGGGTAATTATAAAACTTATCACTTTCATCTATAAATGCAGTTATATAGTCATACCTCAGAGATACTGTGAGTAGCAGAAAACCACGCTAAAGCTCATATTGTTATAAAGCAAATCATGCAAAATGTGAAGCCTCACGGTGAAGATGAAAGTTACCTTTACAGTATTTTGTAATTTCCTTAAGGAGATCTGGTGATGTCGTGTATTACTAGGTGTAACGCTAACTCTAACATTAGCAATCCGGACCCACCAACTACTGGATGAGAGGAAGATGGACATTCTCCTCCCATGAAGATTTACAGCTTCAAACCCACTGAGGTCATTCTGTGTCAGAACCCATGTGATAGCAGTGATTTTTTTTTTAAGGGAGGAGAAAGGAAAGGATAGTCAATTATGACTGTAGTAGCATCACGGAAAAAGCCTGAAACGTTCTGAAAAAGTTTGAAAACATAACACATAGACACAAACTGAACACATGCTGTTAAAAATAAATAAAGAAAATGGTACCAATGGAGTAGCCCAATACTGATGGCCACAAACCATCAGTTTGCAAAAATGGCAATATCTCTGCAGTCAAGTTCAATAGAGCAGGAAACCTACAGATATATTTTGAAAACTACTGTTATTTAACAAAGTGGAGCTCCAGGTGCCCTAGCCTGGCTTCCTTTCATGGTACCGAAGATGTGAAGCTGGACTCGGCTGCTCTGAGCCTTCATGCCACAGGGGAGAGCAGAGACTTGAGTTGTGGGATTACCTGACACATTCTGTTTTATTTTGTTGTGATTCGAGCAAAAGATCACACAGAAAATGGATTTTTTTTCATTCACTCATTCATCCACATTACCTTTTATAGTGTTAATAGAATATTAGCAATGTAATCACACTATCCCACTTCTTCCTTGCAATTCTCAATTCTATTAACCCTTTTCTCTTAACTCTTCTTGACTTTAGGATGTTGTCCTTATGCAAATGCTGCCTTGTTATTTACTGCAAGCAAGAAGGCTTCCCTGATGAAATCAGTCACTTTATAGTCTAACTAGGGAGCTCTTCTGGCTTAGAAGTAAGGAATTGCGTTGTTAGAGCAGCAGTACATGGTTCGAATCCACAAGCTGCTCTGCAGAAGGAAGATTGCCAATCTCCTCCTCGGGTGATTAACAGCCTCTGAAAACTTGATGGAGGGTCAGCGATGGGTTGGTTCCGACTCAACAGTACACAACAAAAACAGCCTGCCTACTGTTTGACTGAAAGTTGAGCCATGGGGCTGAGTTTTGTTCCAAGTTCTAAGGCTGACTGAGGGTCCTAGTCTCAGGAGTTCACTGAACCTCTATCAGATCAGTAAATCTGATGTCTTTTATTGTTTTGTTTCACATTTTCCTTCCCTCTACCCAGGAACTTCTGCTGTTATCCCTTGTAGAGTGGTCAGTGGTGGGAGCCAAGAATCATCCAGTTCTTCTGATCTCAAGGCCCATTAGCATCTCATAGACCACAAGGAAAACATTCTACATCCTATTGCACTGAGTACCAACTGGGATCTTCAAAGCTTAGGGCAACCATCTAAGTAAGATGTTAACTATTGATCTCTCCCTGCCCAGAACAAAGAAGAGGGACAAAAGCAAAGACAGACACAAACAATTAGTCCAAAAGACTTAGAGAACATGGCAACCTCAACCTCCACAATCCTGAGGCCAAAATACCAAAATACCTGTTCCTTTTAATTCCTCAAATATTTTCACCAAGTAAAAAATAAAGCTAAAACAAACCCAAACTCAAAACTCCATAAGGGAACCAGATAATTTACTTCTTTGTCATTTTCAACACAATATCACCCTGGAATTTGCCAAGAAATTCCAGGATGGGAGGGAGGAGTTTTCAATAGAAAGGAAGGTAAAAATTGTTGTCATCAACCCAATTTAAAACAGTTCTGACTTGCACCTGCAATGAGTTCAGGTATATCGGAGCACAGCTGCCCCATAGGATTGTGTTTTTCATTTAGTTATTTCCCCCCTTAATTACATTGTATTTCATGGAATTGTTCATATGCATTGCATTTTATATAATGAATTACTATTGATCTAAGCCAAATATTAGCCTGTTTTTCTGAGTCCCCTTTGAATCTTTCCTATTCCTTCACCCTCTAGTCCACCCACTAAAATCTGCTATCCTAGTGAATTCCAAAACTCTTCCCTTGTTCCCACCTCCGTCTCCTTCTCCCCTTCCTCTTTTGGACGTGTATACACATCTTCTTACTAGTTATCCTTCTCTTTTTACAATAACAGCCTTCCTAAAAGTGTTTTCCCTTAGAAGACTATTAGTTCACTCGGGAGAATGCTCTCTGGATTCTCCTATGTTGCCAGGTCTTTCCCGTGAGACCGCTAAGGTTGAACATGACCGCTCCAACACTTCAGTTACCAGGGAGACACATTCATCCTTTGCACCACCAAGGACTACAGAGTGTCATTAACTTTGTGCCTGTAAGTCAGTTCCAACTCACAGCAGCCCTACATACAACACAATGAAATATTTCTTCGCCCTGTGCCATCCTCATAATCATTGAGAGGGTCTGTTTTTCACGTATACTTTTCTTTATCCAACTTGATGCTCTTGCCCAGGTTGGAGGGACTGGTCAGTCCTTCCTGACAACATACCAAAGGATGTAATAGTATGGATGCCGCACTTGGTCCTAAGGAGCATCTTGACCATACTTTGGGGTTGTTCCTTAATTGTGACTATCAGGCATCTAATAATACCCCGAAACTCAAGCTCATTGCCATCAAGTTCATTGCCATCAAATTTATTCTAACTCATAGCAACCCTCTGAGGCTGTGAATCTTAGCAATAGAGACTCCACCTTTCTTGCCTGAGACCACCTCCTAGTGGATATGAACCACCTGAAATGCACAGTTTTTAAAAAAAATTTCAATTTACTTAATTTTTAATTTTTTTTTTCATGTTATACTGGTTTCTATACAAAATTCATAAAGTTCATATACATTGTTTTTCCACACTGGATCTCTCCCCTTTCCTTTACCCATTCCTCCCTCCACCCATCAAATGATGTGACTCTATGATTAAGCCCCTCCCTCCCCTCCTTGGATCCTCATACTTGTTCTAGATTAATGGTCTTATACAGTATTTGTCCTTACGAGACTGAGTTAGTTCACTCAGCATAATGCTCTCTAGTCTCTCCCATGTTAGGTAGTAATTTATGAAATCATTGTTCCTGCAATCATTGCTCTTGCGTGCTGCATAGTATTCCATTGTGTGAACGCACCATCATTTCTCAATCCATTCTATTATTGTTGGGCCTTTGGGTTGTTTCCATGTTCTTGCTATGATGCACAGCCTTTTGCTGAGCAAAATGGCATGCTATGGATCATGTCACCAAGATCCTGCACCACCAGTCCCTTTTAAACTTGCCTTTTCCTTCCCGGGGCTGCAGCCAGCCCCCCACTTACCATTTTGGAGAAGAGGAAGTAGCGCAGCTGGTAGGAAAGGTAGTAGTTTGAGGCACCAAGTTTAGTCACCAGGGTCTCGCAGGAATGTGAGCAGCTGCAGGACCAGTCCTCATTGATCCTGAGAGGAGGAACTTTCAGGTGTTAAAGGGAAGGAATCCCAAAAGAATCTAAGGACATGGAGCTTTTCCAATCCCCCTGCACCTTCCCTGAGCACGAGCCTAGCCTAGTCATTAACTCACCTGCCCCTTCACCCTCGAAACTTCCAGACACCAGATGGCATAAATATGGGCACCAGGCGAAATATAGACATGTTTATTTGACTCTCTTTTTTTCTCCCTCTCTCCCCCTCTCTCTTTCATTCTCTCTCTCTGTGTATGTATGTGCACATGCATGTGCACAGAGGAGATGACCTGGCAAGGATTTCACGCATGGGAGGGAGCCCTGAAGAACCTGAAATGTGACACCAGGAAAGGGGCTGGAGATCAGGTAGGAACAAAAGGGGAAGCAAGGGAAGCTAGGTTGGATGCAGAGAGCAAGCTTGAAGGTTTTGGAAAGGGCGCTCTGAATGAAGTGTGGTGTCCCTGGCAGGGAGAGATCTGGGAGACCCATCAGAGGGTCTCTGGATGGAGGTCATAGGTTAGTGTAGCTGTACCAGGCTGAATAAAGTGTTGGGGATTTGAGAGACAGGCAGGCTATTAACTGGCTGGTTCATAGAGGAGTGCCAGGAAAGGGGTGAAGTGGATGTTGGGACTCCTGGGTCTTGGACCTGGTCTGCCCAGAATCCCGAGTTCAGCCTTGGGAAGTTGTAGAGCCACTGTACCCCATGAGAGGACCCACAGTTTAGGGTTTGCAGGTTACCAGAACATTCAGTTGTACCCACCTTGATGCCAGCAGCTCCACTATGCAATTGTCCCTGACATCTAACACTTTGGCGTCTTCATGGTGGATCTCATCGTAGATCATGGAGGTATTAGTACGGATCCACTGACAGGGAAGCTGCCAGAACCCAGGCTTGAGGAGAGGGTGGAAAGCTGGCCAAGAGCAGAATCAAAGAGGTAAGTCACAGGAGCAGTCATCAAAAGGCCGAGAAGTATAATATACACCCAGCTCAATGTCTCCTTAGCACCAGGAGCCAGCACTGGGAAAGAGTACTGGGTAGAGCCTTCGCACTCCTACCGTTTGAGATCCAATTGTGGGGTAACTAATTAGCACTCTCATTCCAACTCAAGCTCAGGGCAATGGAACTGGTTGTCCCTCCACCCTCAGGTAGCTTGAGACCCTATGCCAGGCCTGCTCTGAGCTCCTAACTTCTCCTCCTGGGAGGCCATTGGTTTTGAAACAAATGTGTTCCTCAGGGAACATAATTAATTAAAAGGAAAAAAAAATCAGGAATGTGTCCCAGTGGTGTTTTAACTCCATGTTATACTGTATGCCATTGAACCAGTCCTGACTCTTCTAACAAACCAGGGTAGAAAAAAACTGCCTCCTACTTTTTCAGTGGCTATAATGTTCACATAAGCAGATTTCCATGTGGCTTTCCTGAGGAACCTCTCATAGATCTTAACCACCTACCTGTACGTTAGCAGCTGAATGTTAAACCATTGTACCACCAGTGCCTCCAGCTTTGACAAAATCCCTAGTAGTCTATGGAAACCTAATAAGGAGGAGTAGATTGCTTTTTAGACTAGACTAAGGTGCCCTTGACCCAAGCCATAGTCTTTTCAATTGCATCCTCTGTGTCTGAAAGTTGGACAGTGAATAAGGGTGACCAAAGAATTGATGTCTTTGAATTGTGGTGTTAGCAAAGACTATTGTTGACTATACTACAAATATAGGGTTGCTATGAGTCATGTTCAACTCAACGGCACTTAAAAACAACAACAAACATACTACCAAAGTATTATTGACTACACTATCAATTATTGACTACAACTATCAAAAGAACAAACAAGTTTGTCTTGAAGAAAGTGCAACCAGGGAGCTCCTCAAAGTCAAAGATGATGAAACTTCTTTCCACATACTTTGGGATACTGTAAGGAGCATCCTTAGAAAAGACATCATTCTGGAGAAAGTGGAGAGTTGGCAAAAAAGAGGAAGAACTTTAACGAGATTCAGCTGCTAATCCAAAGGTTGGAAGTTCTGGTTCATCCAGACTTTCTTCAGATGAAAGACTTTTTTGTTTCTGCCAAATCAATCCACCGCTGAAAATGCAATGGAATACAGTTCTCCTCTGTTACCCTTGCAGTCAGTCACTGTAATTTGGGGCCTAGTTGACAATAACTTCCCGTATGACAACTACCCAGGTCAGAGTTACAGGATGGGACCTCATGTATGGTAACTGGAAAGAACAGAGACATTTTTTCTGAGTACTTTAGGGACTGGAGATATGCCAGAGGATGTTAGTCTTTTCAAGGCAAATGATTCCTTTTCCTTTTAGATATGTCGAACACTGGGACAGAGCATTGGTCTCAGATGAGGCCCTTGACACTGGAGACAAGATACTCCTTGCTCTCCAGCCATCTGAGTGGGTGAGTGAGTGAGTGAGTGAGTGGGGCCATCTCAGCTGGGGTCAAGGGCAACTGGACCTACTCTGGGATCTTCTTGATATTCTATATGATCCCAATTCTCAACTTCTTTCTTTCTTCTTTCTTTCCCTTTCATCATAACTATTTAATATATATATGGAGAAAACAATCTGAGAAGTTGGGGTTTTATGCAGAATAATATGGTATTAGTAGTGGAAGAAGACTCATCAACAGTCTATGGTATGCAAATGACAATCTTTTCTGTAGAGAGTAAAGACTTTTTAAAAAAAGCAATTACAGATTCAAGTAAAGGATTTAGCCTTCAGTATGAATTATATCTCAAAAGAAAACAACAAACCTCCGTCTTGGCCATGTTAAAGTGTTGTTATGTTGGTTAAAGTGTTAAAGTTATGTTGGTTAAAGTGGTGGATCAACATGGCTTTCTAGGCATCTCTGGTTTTCGTTACCTTTAAACATTCCCTACCCCACTTTATCGGTAGAAGTGCGGCTATATGTGTGAGCTTACCTTGTACATATGTGGGTTGAAGCAGCTTCAGTTTGTTGATGGATTTGCCAATAAATTTATCCAGCTTCTCAATCAGCTTTTCTACTTTCTGGTTCAGTATCCGAAACAGGGGGTCCTTGATCCAAATCTTCTGAACAGCCTTGAGCTCCACTGTGAGGAAGCACAGTTCATTCCGCCATTGATGAGGGGGGTGAGGGGCGGGGAGAAAAAGATGTACTAAGTTACTATAGTTATTATTAATATGTTAAGTTGAAATGAGTTCTGGTGGCATATTCTACAGAGAGTTACATTGCTAACCCAAAGGCCATGTTTCTCTAGTGATTTGGACCCACAAGCTGTACTTCTGGAGAAAGATGGGCAATCTCAGAAATCCAGTGGAGGGTCTGCTATGATTTGGTTCTGACTCCACAGAAGTGAATTTGGGATGTTGTTGTTGCTTGTTTGCTATTGGGTTGAACTGTGTCTCCCAATGAAGGTGCATTTAAAGCTTACCTGGAAATTCCTGTGAATGTGACTTTCAGGGGTGTAATTACATCCCTACCTCCAAAAATTATACTCCAAATAATCTGTGGGGGCTAGAATCCAAACTGAAAAAATGTTATTTTTGCCATGTTAATGAAGCAATATTCATGCAGAGTGTGTTTCGTTTCATTTAATCTATTTCAAAACAGAAAGGAGATTAAATAAACGTGTAAGTGGCACTTCCTGAATTCTTGCTTTTGGACTTCCAGTCACCAGAGTTCAGAACCACCGTCTATAGAGCTCGCCATGGGTCCTAGCCAACTCAACGGCACCTAACGACGTCATAAGGTAAAATAACACCTGAAAGGTCTCCAACACATGCTCACACTGGATCACAAGTGTAGTGTTTGTCCAAGGTTGAAACTCAAAACATAGCAAGGGAGAAAATGGAGATATGAATGAAAAGAACCACAGAGAGAGAGTGGGAAGAGTGATGACACAATGTGGGGATTGTAATCAATGTCTTAAAACAAGAAATGTATTAGTGAAAAGTAAAAGAAAAACAAAACAAAAAGCTTGCTGAGCATCTGACAATTAATTGACTCAAGGGAGGAAAAACGTTTCCTATTCACTACCAAGATGCCTACAGGCCAGTGGGCACCTAGCAGGGGTAGAAGGGAAGGCAGAGGGGTGATCAAGTGGCCAGAAAGAGGGGAGAGCTGAGGGGGAGCATCCCCACAGGGCTGAGAGGGGGAGAGGTTTGGAGGGCAGCTTCGCTGACACACAGCTTAGTGGGTGGGCAGGCAAGCATTAAGAAGGGGCTAAGAAATTCGACCAGCGAAAGACCAAACCATGCCTGATTTGCTTACCCCTGACCACTTCGGAATAAAGCATGGAAGTAAATGTAGAATAAAAGTCAAAATCATAAAAAAAGGCCAGGCTTACTGATCTCACAGTGACGAGTAGACCCTGCTAGACACCTTTCGACGCCTTTCCAGTTTAAAACGGAAGCCAGTTTTAAGTGGTGAATTTACAGCCAAACTTCCAAACCCATAAAGTGAATGATAAGACAGTTGAGGAGGTCGCTCAGCACAATCCTGTAAGAAAGGGCAACATCTTCCTTCCACAAAGATCAAAAAGCTGCCAGGGGCAGGAAGAAAGAACGTATGGAAATATAGTTTAGGGAGGAAGTGGGAGAGGGGCTGAAATAGCAAGGGAACTGCAACCAAACAACAGAACAGCATTACGTACTACTTGTTGAATGGAAAATTCATTTGCTCTGCAAACTTTCACCAAAAATTACAAAAATAAAGAAAACTAAAAACAAGAAAGAAAAAGTAAAGACTACTGATGATTAAGGTATACTGACAGGAAGAGGTCCTGTGCCCGCCACATGAGCTGTCCTGTGCCAGAAGTCAACCCTGCCCTCAAGTTTATGGAAGGACATCAAAACTAAAACCCGAAGTCCTTGTCACCCTGTTGACTCCATTTAACAGGACCTTGTAGTGACTCTATAGGACAGAGTAGAATTGTCACCTGGGTTTAAAAGACTCTGAATCTTTGTGGAAGCAGACTGCTTTATCTTTCTCCACTGAAGTGACTGGGGGGTTTGAACTGTGGATGTTTTGGTTACCAGATGAACATTTTTACTATCATAGCTCCTTTGAAAAAGAGAAAAGGAGATAGTCAATGCTTCATATTATGCTGTTGTTGTTGTTGATTGCCTTCGAATTGAGCACGACTCATAGGGACCCTATGAACAAAAAGCCCCTCTACAACTATTGACATTTATCAAAGTTCATAGAGTGTCCAGAGGCATATTATTTAGGAAGTGGATGCCACTCCTGCTTCCATATTAGGCTACCCATCAATTTATGTCCTATTGCTGTTGTTACGTTATGCACTGTTAAGTCAGAATGGACTCATATCTGACCCTCCAGTGGGTTTTTAGAGGCAGCAAATAGCACTAGAGGAAAGTTCCCAACTTCCTTTCACAGATCAGCTGGTGGACTGGAACTGCGTACTTTTGCGTAGGCAGTCCAACTTTTTCCCGCTAGGGCACAAGAGCTCCTTATGTGCACGACTGGCAACCCAAAGGTTGGAAGTTTAATCACCTAGTGGTATCCCTGAAGATAAGCCTTGCAATCTGCTTGAGGTCTTGAGGGTCTCTGCTGGACAACGTGCACCACTGTTTTGCCAGGGGGAGTTCCTGTCCCATAAAACCCATTGGGAGCACACGCTCTTTGGCCCGCCTTCTCACCAGTATACTCGAAGGATCATCCCACGGGAAAAGAATAACTTTCAACGCTTGTGTTACCTTTAAATCCTTCCTACATCTAAGCACAGCAGGCCCCCAGAATTCAATGGGGTCGAGCCCCTAGGGTCAAGCCCAATAGAGTCTGATTTCCATGGAGTCAAGCAGGCTATTCAAATGCCAGGTGGCAATCTTCTCTCACGGTTACAGAATGGGACAGGGTGGCGTGTAGGTGATGTTCCACCCACCTTGCAGGATCCTGAGGGATACCATATCATTCACTTCGGTATTCGTATAGTCTTTCTCCAGGAAGATGACAGCTTGCTCTAAGGAGGACAGGATTATAGAGGAGACGACGCCCTTCATCTCTGGGGAATCTGGTTTGACAAACGAGGAGGACACGCGTGGTGATGAGGTCATCAGCAGGAGCAGGAAGAGCAACCTCATGGTGGACCTGGCTCCCTTCCCGTCACTTCGAGAAGTCAAAACACTTCTGTAAAGAGAAGCTCTGCTCTGGCTGCTTTTCATGCTTTACTTTCCTCCACCTCCAACTACTCCTTTTTATCCTCTTCTTTCTTCTCCCCCTCTTCCTCCCCCTCATCGCTCGTCTTCTTCTTTCCTTCCTGCAGGCATCAGACAGGAGGCTGAGAAGAGCTGACCCTCCTGGGGTAGCTGGCAGGCCAGGACACCAGAGAGGACTCCACGAAGGATAGCAGCAGACGGCTAGTCTTCCTATCTTCTATTAGCACCCTGTTCATAGTGATAGATATGTTTGAGTCTATTGTCAAGGTCATTGTGTTAGTCCATCTCATACGTGAGATGAAGCTCAGCATATTCCTATCTTTGATCTGGGAATCCTTTTGACCCGATAGTTAAGATGCGTGAGGCTGAGTTGGCCACCTTCAGGCTGTTGTTATCTTGGGCCATGGAGTTAATTCTGAGTCATCGAGAACACATGTGTTACAAAGATGAACAGCTCAACAGGATTTGCTAGGGTGTCATATTTTTCCCCAGAAAGGAAACCTCGTAGCTATGTGGTAAGCAGCTTGGCTGTACGGAGTTGTGCTGCTAACCCCAAAGCAGCACTTCTCTAGCTGTTAGAATCCATCCACTATTCCAAGAACGAAAAATGAGCGATTTCGTCCCATGTCATTGATAGTCTCTCAAATCCCTCTGGAGGGTCAACCAGGAGTCAGTTCTTACTCAATGGCAATGAAGCTGCTTTTTGGTTTGTTGTGTTCTAGTTAGCCAAAAGGTTTGAAGCCACAAGTTTGCTTCCTAAGCAAATGGTGCTGCAATCTGCTTCTGTAAAGATGCACACTTTTGAAATCCTCTGGAGCAGTTGAGCTTTGTCCTATAGGCCACTTTAAGTGAAACTAGAATGGACAATGAACCTTGTAAGGGTGTAAAGGAAGGGGGCATCCATCTGGGAAGGATGGACGGATGGCAATGAAGGTATTGCAATTACCAACTTGCAACAGGACATGCATAATTATCAAATGGGAAGGGGGAAGGAGAGATGGGGAGAGCGGAGTGAGAGGAGGACAAAATGTCAGGGAAGCAGAGGTTAGTGGGTGCATTTGTGGGGTGAAGGGAAAGACAAAGTAATGTGAGGGTTTAATGAGATGTGAGAGATGGTATTAATTGTAACTAATAACATAAAATGAAATATATATGAATGTTTTAACGGAAAACAATAGTTTTAAATGGCCCAAGGGAAGTGCTTTTGGATTTTTTTGTTTGGGTTTCGTCCATATTTTTTTAACATTTTAAAAATTTTATTATTTGTGTATGTGTGTACCATCAAATTGGATCTGGCTGGTACAGGGGAGATTGTCCCTCCTTCTCCAGCAAAGTATTTGGTGGATTGGAACCATGTACCACTGGGATTGCAGTGCAGCTTCTTGCCACTAGGCTACCAGAGCTCCCTGGGGTTTTGTTCATATTTACAGAAGTAAATATCCAAGAGCTTAGGAGATTTTTTTTCTCTCCCCTACTGTATAGCTAGGTGTTTTGAACTGCCAGTGTGTTGATCATTGGCTTTATGCTCCAGGATGCCAGCAACCACTGCAGGTGTGGTCTCCAGATTCTATTCCTGGAGTGTTAGAGGTTGAGGGATGAGATGTGCCCCAGCCTACTTCTGGTGAAATGACCTAAATATAGATAGCCCGACTAATCTACCTGTTCATCCTTCAATCTGCATCCTTCCCACCTGTCTCTATATACTGTCTTAGAGAGCCATCCTCTACGGCTGGCGTCATACAAAAGAGTCTCTAACCTGCTGGAGAAGAGGACATTGGTAGCCTACCTCCATAATGATGACTGAGTGGTGGATTGTAGCCAGGACCCTTGATGAACTTCAGTCTCCCTGGCGTTCTGCTGATCTCATCACAATATTTGCCCACTTAAATTTTATTTGCTGTGGTGTCACACTCCTTAGAAGATGGGCTAGGAGTACTGTGTGTTGCCAGGTCAACTACAACTCATAGTAACCTTATAAACAGTAGATCTGAACCTTGTCCTCTCCTGTGCCATCCTTACATTCACTGAAATGCTCAAGCCCATTGTAACAGTCTCTAAGTCGATCCATCTTGTTGATGGTCTTTCTCTCTTTTCCTGTCCCTCCACTTTTCCCAGTATGATGTTTTTTCCAAGAACTGGCCCTCCTGACAGCACACCCCAAATATGTGGGACCAAGTTTTACCTTCCTTTTCTTTAAGGGGCTTTCTGGTCTCACTTCCTCCAAGCCAGAGTTGTTTGTTCTTTCGGCAGTGGGATGGTGCTTTCTGTGGTTTCCTATCCGTCTGAAAGTCAGACAGTGAACAAGGATGACAGAAGAAGTATCAATGTCTTTGAATTGTAGTGTGGGGCCATGACTAGTTGTTGTTATTGTTAGGTGCAATTTAGGTGGCTCCTACTCAGAGGGACCCAATGAACAATGGAACTACACCCTGACCATTCTGTGTCATCCTCACTGTACCTGATCCACTTGAGCCCATTGTTACAGTCACTGTGTTAATCCGAGTCACCGAGAGTCTTCCTCTCCTTCAATGATCCTCCACACTTCTAAGCATGAAACCCCTTTTCGAGGACTGACGTCTCACAATATGTACAAGGTAAATGAGATGAACTTTCACCATTCTACATGTTGTTGCTGAGTGCCACTGAATTGAGTATAACACATAGTATAACCCTATGAACAATAGATCTGAACCATGTCTTACCCTGGGCCTTCCTTATCATCTCTGAAATACTTGATCCCATTGCCGCAGCCATTGTGTCGATCCATCTTGTTGAGGGTCTTCTTCTCTTTCGCCCACCCTCTACCCTTCCAATAATTCTGTCTTTTTCCAAGAAGAGCCTCTCCTAACAACATGTCCAAAATATGTGAGCTTCACAATTCTTGCCTCCACAGAGTGCTCTAGCTGCACTTTCTCCAAGACCTATCTGTTTGTTCTTCTGGCCATCTATGGGACAGTCAGCGCTCTTCTCTAACACAACTCAAAGACATTGATCTTCCTTCTGCCACCCTTTTCATTTCAGCTCTCAGATACACATTAGGTGATTGGAAAGACCATGGCTTGAATCGTGTGCATGTTAGTCTTTAACATCACTGCTCTTCAGTATTTTGGAGAGGTCCCTGACAGCAGACTTTCCCAGTCCAATACATCTTTCGATTTCTTGACTGCTGGTACCGATGATCTTGATTATGGATAATAACAGCCAGCGTTAATTAAAGCTTAGTTTCTCTTTATGACTGGATAGATCGCTCACTCACCTTCTCACTTCCTCCCTGCCTAGACTTGCTTCTGACTCATAGCAGTTGTCAGGTATCTGAGGCTATAAATCTTTATGGGAGGATACTGCCTATCTTTCTCCCGTGGGGCAGCTGGTGGGTTTGATCTGTCAGAGAAACATGACAGTACAACTATGGACTAAGTGACCAAAGAATCCATTCAATGGACTGATTACATTTTGTTCATCTACCAACCTGTTGTGAATACTTCCATTTTAACTCACCTTTACAGAAATGTGAACAACCATGCCCATGTGTTACTCTAGGGCTATTGTTAAAATTGTACTGTTGCTATTGTTGTTGTTCTGTGCCATCGAGTCGCTTGCCACTCATAGCGACCCTATGTGCAACAGCCCTAAACTCGGCTCAGTCCTGTGCCAATCACACGGTCTCTGACACACCCATCCCGATTACCCCAGTCACTGAATCAATCCACCTCATAGAGGGCCTTCCCCTCCTGTCCTGTCCCTCCATCCGCCCAAGCATGATGTCCCTCTCCAAGGACCGGTCTCTCCTCACAACATGTCCAAAGAATGTTAGACGAGCCTCAGAATCCTTGTCTCCAAGGAGCCACCCAGTTTAACCCTTTCCAGGATGAATCTGTTTGTTTTCCTAGCAGTCCATGGTACTCTCAATACCCTTCTCCAGCACCACAGCTCAAAGGCATCAATTCTCCTTCTATCCTCCTAGGAAAGTTTAAATTTGTATTTTTCTTTATTCTTAAATACAGTTCTTCTGAATTGCTTCCAAATTTAGGGATAGGAAATAATCAAAGAACACAGGACTAGTTTACAGACACTATAGCTTCCTTTTGGCATATTTCTATAACACTCAAATCTTCTCAAGACCAACTGCATGTCAGACCATGTTCCTCAGGGTTTATTATGCAATGGCAAGTTTCTGAGCCCCAATCTGAAGTTCCTTGCCTGAATCTAGCAAAAGGAGAGAAGTTGGGAATTTGCAGGGAAGTACTACCATACTTCTAAGGCAACAGCCTCAACACAGGACTGTGAAAACCATCATCCTGATTCTCAATACTGTCCATGGCTAAGCTGGCAGCAACATTGCAAAAGATATAACACTGTGTGTATCAGACTCAGAGACTCCAAGACCAGAGTGAGCACTTCCATGTGACCGGAATGGTTTTCCATTTTCCTACATCATTTGTTTTATAATGTTCATTATAATACCCACCATGTAATCTCACTTTCCCCACTTCCTCTTTATTTCCTCTTTTATTTCCATCAATGGTTCTATTTGACACCTTCCTACAATTCTGGGCTCTATTCTTGGAGAAACCACCCTTTGGACCCTCCATGGTTGGTTATCTTCTTTAAAGGCCTGTGTATTTTCAGACTAAAAGCCTTGGCAGTGTGTTTTGTCTGAGTTCAGAAAGGCCATAGTCTTGGGAATTCCAGTCTCTAACAAGCCCGTAAGGCTATCCCTTTAATAGATTTAAAAAAAAAAATTTGTTCCATATTTTCCTCCACTCTATCCAAGATCATCTCCTTCATTTTAAAGTTGTAAGAGCTAGGAATCTGGACAGAAGTAAACTGGCACTTCTTCTTCCTATGGAGCAGCTGTTCAGTTCAAAGCATTAGACTTTCAATCTAACCTAGCAATTTAATCACTCCTCCACTGATGCCCCCTG